TTAACACATATTATTCTATAATTAACTTAATCTAAGATAAAATAAAATTGTAGTTTTGTAACGAAAAATTTTTTTTAAAATGGTTTAGGAATTTCGTGCATATTATTTTATTTACAAAAATGTATTTATTTATTTAAATATATAAAATTAATATTCTAAATGGTCTAAAAGTTCCGATCAATTTGCGGTTTTGAATTTACGATATAATTTTTCAAACCGAACATCCTATTAAGTTTTAAAATTGGCGTTTTACTTTCAGTACTTTAAAAATCAGTGTATTTAAAATGTAATATATTTTGTTATGAAGCTAATTTTATGTCACAATTTTAATAGATTGCTATTTGTCAAAATTTTTATCAGGTCAATCATGTATTAAAAATTTCTGAGGAATTACAAATAATCATTGATTGATAATGCGGAAATATTTTTTTTTACTTTTAAATCTGTAATATATTCTGTATATTAAACACCTGCATTTATTTCTTACATCGACTGAAGTAATAAATTAAAGCGCAGCTGTATTTATTTTATTTTGGTTCTATTTTCTGCATTAAACAATTAATACGCCTTATTTACTGATATTTTCTACAATTAAAATTTGAAAATACTATATTAATTATTTTCTACTATTGCTTTACAAAGAAATAAAGCTCCTATTTATATTTAATAAACACTGACAAATTTTAATTTTGCTTTTTTTTATTTTTTTATTACGGTCCATTTTAGAAAAATAATTTCCGATCGTGTGTAATTTGATAGATTTTAGACTTATTATTTTAATTCAACGTTTTCTCTAAGATGTCTGTTTTAGCCAAAAAAACTATTTATTAATTTTAAATAATAAGGTTCCTCCACCATAATTTTAAATAAAAATAGAATGACACGGTAAATAAGTATACTAATTCTTATACATAAACTTTTTTAAATTTCTCCGTTACGGTCTTTTTTAGAAAAATAATTTTTGATTGTGTGTAATTTGATAGGTTTCAGTTTTATTATTCTATTTTAATGTTTTCTTAGGGATGACTGTTTTAGCCATAAAACTATTTATTAGTTTTAAATGACAAGGTTCCTCCACCATAATTTAAAATAAAAAAACAGATATGGCAAATAGGTACACTAATTTTTATACATAAACTTTTTGTTGAATTTCTCCGTTACGGTTCATTTTAGAAAAATAATTTTTGATCGTGTGCAATTTGATAGGTTTCAGGCTTATTATTCTATTTTAATGTTTTCTTTAAGATATCTGTTTTAGTCAAAAAAATATTTATTAGTTTAAAAATATAAGGTTCCTCCACCATAATTTTAAATTAAATTAATGGACAGGGCAAATAAGTATACTAATTCTTTTACATAAACTTTTTGTTGAATTTCTCCATTACGGTCCATTTTAGAAAAATAATTTCTGATCGTGTGTAATTTGATACGTTTCAGGTTTTTCATTCTATTTTAATGTTTGCTTTAAGATGACTGTTTTGGTCATAAAAGTATTTATTATTTTAAAAATACAAGGTTCCTCCACCATAATTTAAAATAAAAAAGATTGGACACTGCAAATAGGTATACTAATTCTTATACATAAACTTTTTGTTGAGTTTCTCCGTTACGGTCCATTTTAGAAAAATAATTTTTGATCGTGTGTAATTTGAGAGGTTTCAGGTTTATCATTCTATTTAAATAGTTTCTTTAAGATTACTGTTTTAGTCATAAAAGTACTTATTAGTTTAAAAATACAAGGTTCCTCCACCATAATTTAAAATAAAAAACAGATTGAACATGGCAAATAAGTATATTAATTCAAATACATAAACTTTTTGTTAAATTTCTCCGTTACGGTCCATTTTAGAAAAATAATTTTTGATCATGTATAATTTGATAGGTTTCAGGCTTATTATTCTATTTTAATGTTTTCTTTAAGATGACTGTTTTAGTCAAAAAAGTATTTATTAGTTTAAAAATACAAGGTTCCTCCACTATAAATTTAAATAAAATAAATGGACAAGGCAAAATTCTTATACAAAACTTATACACACTACTAAACATAAAATTTGTGTAGCAAAATTTTTAAAATGATATAATTTGACATTGGATTGAGGGTTTTTGATGATTTTTGCGGAATTGGAATCCTTATTTCACGTAGATTTTCTACGATGTAAGCATTTTATTTGAGGGTTAAAATTTACACATTATACCGAGTCGATAATAGACAAAACGTAGCAACAAGAACAAGTATATTACATTATATTTTACAATATGCAAGATTGGTTAACAATATCCAAGAGTCAATTTTTATAAAACTTCTAATTTTACACCTGATTTAAAGGTTCCTGCAATCATTAAAAAAACACGGTGTATTGTGATAACAAAGATTAGGTATGTATGGATAAAGATACCTAGTGGTAATTGGTATTGGTAATTTTTATTAAATAAAAAAATTAGCCTTAAAAACATAAATTGTCTGCCAATTAATTTTTGTTTTATACCCACAGCGTCAAAGATGGGAATTGAAATCTTGCATTTTCGCAGTTTATACTGATATTGGGTTATTGTTGGCAACATCGTGTTAAAAGTACGAGGTCACTGAAAGCAACCGGCAAATATCAATAGAAAATGCCGGGCGGAGGTAATTTGCCCACAAAATATTTAAAGCTGCTAATCCTATAGGTAATTTGCACACAGCAAGTAAAAGGTCATCTTAATCCTGTTGGTATTTTGCACAAATTTATTTCTAACTGAATAAATCATAAATAAATAGATATATCTTTCATTTATTATTTTTTATATATTATCGAAAAGTAAAAACACATTATTAATTAAACTAAAAATTATATTAAACACTAATTTTTATTATTATAAAAAAGTAAGAAAACATAAGTTATATTATATTTTTTATATATTTATATTTTATTTACATATTTTTCAACTGGGAGGCATAAATGTGATACAAATTTTATATACTCTAATCTGCTGATTTACTGCAGATCAAATCGCTGTATAAATTTTTCTAAACACTGAATTTTTTGTTTTACACTTTTGTCTTTGATTTTCTTAGGTATACTTAAGCTTTGTATTGTGACATACGTGTCGATTTGAAAGTCTTTAAGCTTTTCTATAAAAATATATACAGAAGGATGTGTACAGTAGAATGAAGAATTAAACCTTGAATGAAAAGACTCACAGGCATTTGTAGTTCTTGTAATTGAAGCTGCTTTTTCTGCCCATATACTTGGAGGAAATGTAGAATTTTCTTCAATATATGTTTCTAATAGGTAATCGGCATACCTATCGAGAACGGCATTTTCTGGTTTACTTGCCATTAAGTCAAACACAAAACAGTCTCCAACTTCATCGGCGTTTAAATATGTCAACCCAAATGATGTTTTAAGCCATTTTCCGGTATCACTGTTAGTTGTATATTCAGTCATTAATCCCAGAGACTGAATTTTACGATACCACGCTTGATGTAGATGAAATCGGCAGCCATTGATTACAGTATTAGGCCACATATAAATTAACGCCTTATGAATTGCTATTTCAAAATCAACGAACACTTTAGATGGATTTAAAGCAATACTGTGAGTTTCCAAAATTTTATAATGCAATAACGAAAACAAATGTTTGTATATATCGGTAGATTTGTTTGGTAATAAACAATATACCAGGGGCACATAGTGTCCATTACACAGCCCATGAATGGTAAATAATTGTAGGAAAAACTTTGTACAATACGAAAATGTTTCATCCATATACAAGACGTTCATTTTACACAAAGTACGAATATTTGTCTCACATGTAAATACAATAATATTATTTTCTCTGCTATTTATTAAAAGAAAATGTTCACCTTTACTTGTTTTAAATGTATTAGAATATAAGTCAACTGCATCATGCACTTCTTGTATATTTGTAGGTAATGGACCTGGTAGTATTTTGCGACGACTGTTGTATATAGTTTTTCTTATGTAGGACACATCAATTGTAGTTAGTGACTCTGGTAAATTAGTAGCAAGTACTTTACGGATAATTTTAGAAGGTTTTTCCGAAATATCATCAACTGCTTTTCGCTTATACGAATTAGAAATAATTTTCCTGTTTAATTTCGGTTCATTTGCTTCATGGCTATAAATTAGGTTGCCTCTGGATACTAAAAGTTCAGGACCAATTGTAAATACAGTGGCATTACAAGCATTTGTTTTTCTTTGGGAGCATCTCCAAGAAACTTCTCCACTTTTCATTTCTCTATCTTTGGCAAACGTAAAATTCTCCAAAAGGAGTACATCTTTCCTGCGTGTGCTTTTAATCAATGTAGCTGACATTATAGAAATAATTATTGTTTATAAACACTCGAATTACAATCATCAACGTATAAAAACTGACTGAAATATAAACAGTAAACACCCAAAGTAAGTACCTATTAGAATTATTAATAATCAGGTAGGTACCTATTTGTGGGCGGATGTAATTTGCGGGTTTAGGTACCTGAATGCTACTGTG